GTCAGGGTCTCATGTATCCCAGGCTGCCCTCAAACTTGCTATAGTCAAGGATAACCTTGAACCCTTGATCCTCTTGACTATCTCTTGAGTGCTGGGATTACAGGTGTACAGGTGCTCAGTTGATGTGATTCTGTGATCGGCCAGGGCTTTGTGTAAGCTAGGTAAGCTTACACAACTGAGCTACAGCCCCTGTGTCCTCTATTTTAAGACTGAATGTTCTGTTTTCATAATGATCAGAGTCCTTGATGAATACATCTTACCAGATGATCAATATCTTGAATTTCTTCTTTGACACTTTTAAAAATAGTTTTATGATGCATATATCTGTGAACAGTATAGTATTTGATCTGAGAATTTAATTATAGCGTATTTTCCCTTTCAGGTTTATGCTTTTTTTTTTTTGGTTTATGCTTTGTTTTTCGAGACAAGGCTTCTCTATGTAGCCTGGCTGTCCTAGAACTCACAGAGATCCATCTGCCTCTGTATCATGAGTGTTGGAATTAAGGTTTGTGCCACCACCTCGAGACACATATTTTTTGAAATCAGTTTTAATTGTTCTTTCTAAAAATTGTTATGTGTCTGTATGTATATGGCTGCTGTGTGTGGGAGTACCTACAGAGGCCAGAAGAGGGCGCAAGATCCCCTGAAGTAGAAATAGCAAGTTGTGAGCAATCCAAGTGCCGGACTTACATGCTGGGATCTGAACCATAGTCCTGGCTGTCCTGGAACTCTCTCTGTAGACAAGGTTGACCTCAAACTCAGAGATCCGCCTGCCTCTGCCTCTGAGTGCTGGGATTAAACCTAGAGATTTAGCTGTCTGATGCCATCACCACTAGCACCACCCCACCTCACCCCACCCCCTCTCCTCTTAGTTCTCTTATTTATTATCCATTCCATTTCTTCAGGATCTGTGCTATAACTTCACTAAATATCACCAAATAGTTCTCAACTTCAAGCCACGATCTGTTATTTGAAGTGTGTCCTGTGCAGTGTTGCGCTGTGTAAGCTCACTGTTACTCAGCTGTTCCACTTTTGGTGAATGCTGTTGTTCTTCATTGCTATAACCAGCAGTGCTGCGGCGAGCATTCTTGCATTGTCTATGACACATGCATGGGGTGTGTTCATTCTCTAGGGCATGTACCAAAGAGTAGAATGTCGGGCCACTTGTCAGGCAAACTGAATTGGAGATTTCAGACTGTTGACAAAATATTTGTATTAATTTGCATCTCCACCAGCCTCCTCATTCTTCCACATCCTAAACAACATTTGGTACCATCTGCCCTTAATTTTTCTGCCAACACAGCGAGGGTGACATGGTATTTCATTGTAGTTTTGGTTTTCATTGCTCAGATTAATGATGTTTGTCGTGTGTGTGTGTGTGTGTGTGTGTGTGTGTGTAGGAGTGCAGGGACATGTGTACTCTGGTGCATATGTGGAGGTCAAAGGACAGCTTTATGGAATTCGTTCTCTCCTTCCCTTTGTTTCCGCCATGCGGCCTGCCTGCTGCTGCAGATCCAGGCGAGCTGGTGCTCTTTTTGGGCGATTCTCCTGTGTTTGCCCCATGTCTGGGGTGCTGGACAGAGGTTCCCAGGCTTGTGTGGTAAGTGCTTTTACCACAGAACCAGCTTGGTGGTCAAGGTTACTGATGAGTGTCAGTTTGTTTTCATAACTTTGTGATCTATTTGTGTTTTCTCTTTTGTGAAAACACTGGTCTATGCACTTTTCTGTTGGGTTGTGTGTGTGTGTGTGTGTGTGTGTGTGTGTGTTTTTAAGATTTACATGAATTCTTTTAGTATATAGTTACATGAATTGAAAATGATGGGCTGGTGAGATGGTTCAGCAGGTAAGGGCACTTAGTGTCAAATCTGATGATCTCAGATCGGTCTCTGGGATCCACGCTGTGTACTGTGGCGCACACACACACTAAATGTAAAAGGAAAGAAAAAGCCCTCTCACATTGGAGAGGTGGCTCAGTGCTTAAGAGCACTGACTGTTCTGAAGGACTGGGATTCATTTCCCAGTGCCCACAAGGTTGCTCACAATCTTCTGTAATTTCAGGCCCAAGGGATCCAACACCATCTTCTGACCTCAGTTATGTGGTGTGCAGACATACATGCAAAAAAAAAAAGCACTTACACATTTAAAAATAAATACAATTTGAAAAGAAAATGTCAGTTTGGAGTTTGTTTTTGCACTTTCTCAATAGTTCTTTCTTTGGCCAAAAGTTTTATATAATATATTCTAATATAATTTTAATCCCTACTTTGTGTTTTCTATATCTTGTGGCCATTATTCTCTTCCAAACATTTTAGTTTGCCTTTCATGTTCAAATCATTATTTGTTTGGACCTATAGTTTACTTAAGGAAACATTCAGAATTTCTGTACTTACAGCAGTATTCTTTTAAATATTATTATTATATTTATTTATTTAATTGTTTGTCTGAGACAGGTTTCTTTGTCTAGCCCTGGGTGGCCTGGAACTCACTCTGTAGACCATGCTGGCCTCGTACTCACAGAGATCCTAGAGATGTCCTGCCTCTGCCTCCTGAGCAGTGGTGAAAGGCATGTGCTGCCACACCGGCCTGGTGTACTCGCCACTGAACGTGTCTTCTGTGTTCACCTCTCGACTGTTCCTCATTCTTCTTCCTTAACTTTTGCAATTTGAGGATTGCTTCAGAAGGGTTTGTTGTTCTTCATTTTCTTTTTGTTTACATAGAAATTATGCAATTTATTTTTAGTCATTTTATTGCTCCCCTACTTACACTCATATGAATGCTTCATAAAGTTCAAAGTGAAGAACTAACTGCGCTCGTTTATTTGTGTGTGCCCGTGTTGCCGGGTGGGGTGTACATGTCACCCTGAATGTGTGATCTGAGGACAGTTGGCAGGGATTAGTTCTCTTCTTCCACCATGAGGGTCCCCAGAGGTGCCATTCAGGTTATGGACTCTTTTCCTCGCTAAACCTTTTTGTTGACTCTCAAAGTTCAAAGGTCAAGTGCCAAGCCAGGGGTGCAGCACAGCTGGCTGCTAGAACACCTGCACAGCCTGCACAAAAGCCGAGACTCAGACACCACGGGTGCAGGCTGTGACAGCAGCATCACTACAGATAATTCAGTGCGGAGGGCTGGTTGGTTCTTTGGTTTTTCTGTGATGGGAGCAGAGGAGTGGAAAGAGATCTGTTTGACTAACATTTCACGGGGGGCACAGAAACACAAGTGTAGCACGAGTCAAAGAAGCTGGCACTAGTTGCTCAGGGCCTTCACCCCCGCATTACACCTTCTTAAATGGGCTAAAGCGAAGCTGCAGTCAGTTCTTCGGGAATTAACCTGCTTAGCTATCCAGCATAAATTCCATTTGCCATAGCCGGCCGGTGATGGTGCACACCTTAATCCCAGCACTTGGGAGGCAGAGGTGGGGTGATCGCAGTGAGTCTGAGGCCAGCCTGGTCTACAGAACAACTTCCAGGAGAGCCAGGGCTACACAGAGAAACCCTGTCTCAAAAACAAACAAAATATTCCATTTGCCTTTTACATATGAGGTGTTCTGGCACTAGTTCTGTAGACTAGGCTGGCCTCGAACTCACAGAGGTCCGCCTGTCTCTATGAGGACACTGTCCAAAGCTCTGAGAAATTAACTATAACAAGTAGATGTGATCTCCGCCCCTGTGGTGTTTGTGGTGAGCTGCAGGCCTGTCTGAACAAAGTGAAGCCCTTTCTCAGGCAAACAAAGAAAAACCAAATAATTTTTTAAGGTGTACTGAGGTCTGAGATAACAGCTTTCCAGCCTGCTGGGGGAAATAGTGTCCTACGTGTCTCCAGGACGGGGAATCATGCGTGAAACAGCCTTCAGAGACGGCGGTGCAGAGGACACAGCAGGTCCTCACGGAGCAGTGCTCTGATGTTGGAACTGTCAGCCTGCAAACTACCACATGGAGACCTTCATTAATTATGACAGCTTGGCTGTTAGCTTAGCCACTGTCTCATTAGCTCTTATAACTTAACTTGTTTTATTAACCTACCTTCATCCATGTGGCTCAGTTACCTCTGCTTTGCACCCTATGTCCAACCTCTCCAGTGATGTGGGAGAACTGTCTGTATTCTATCAATCATATTTTAATAAAACGCTGATTGGCCAGGCAAGCAGTATAGGCGGGAAAACCAGACAGGAAGTAGAGGTGATGCAATGAGAACAGGAGAATTTTGGGAAGCAGGGAGGTTCCTCTGCCACTCCTGCGCAGACCACCAAAGAGGCAAGATGTAAGCTGCTCCAGCTGAGAAAGGTACTGAGCCATTATGGCTAACATAGATAATGATAATGGATTAATATAAGTTACAAGGACTAATACAAAGCCTGACCTAATAGGCCAATCAGTTTATAATCTTATGGAGTCTTGTGCGTGATTTTCTTTGGGGTTTGCCGGTTGTGGGGTACTGGGCGGGACGGAAACCCCAACAAGCCGGCCCCCTCATGTTACACTCCAGTGTCTCCTTGACCTCCCCACACTACCCATCCTGCTTCCTCAGCATCTGGATGGTGACTCTGCCTTTCTTCTTCCCAGAGTCCTCTCTGTCCCCAGGAAGTCCCACCTAACCTCTTCCTTCCTAGCTATTGGCCATTCAGATCTCGAGTACACCAATCACAGCAATCCATCTTCACACAGTGTACAAATACCCTACAGCACACTCCAAATGTGCTCAGTGTGTGTAGGTTTTTGGTACAGTGTGTTGGTTATATCTTCAGAAAAGCCCTTCTTTCTCTAGCTCCCTTCACCCCAAGCGGTCTTCCATAATGAGTGACCTGCGATGCTGATGCTCTGTTGTGTCTTTAGTTGTTTTTCTAGGTGAAAGTTTAGCTACCCTGAGCCTTTTTCTTGAGACTCACATATGTCTCATTTTATTCTAAACATTGATTTCAGCTTTTCTCACCACAAGGAACTATTTGAACTTTATACATGAAAAACATAATAAAAGTGGTAATTTTGTGCGTTCTTCATTTTTAGTCTATTGAAGACAATGAGGTGTACTTGCCGAGCGATGAACTTTGGACCTACGACATTGACAGCGGGCTGTGGTGAGTACTGTCATATCACAAAACGCCGAGCCTTCTAACTCAGAGCCTTTATAGACCGCAGGGGGACAAGGGCAGGCTTCTCACAAAACGCCGAGCCTTCTAACTCAGAGCCTTTATAGACCGCAGGGGACAAGGGCAGGCTTCGCACACCCTACATTCACATCGTCCCTCCTCTCTCTACAGTTCCTTCTCCTCCTCTTTCCTTTCCTCCTCCCCATCCCTTTCAAAGCCTTCTCTGTCTCTGAAGAGGGTCTTACTCAGTGTGACTCAGCATGAGGACTTTGACTATCCCCTCCCCAGCAGGATGTAAGTCTTCATTGTGGATCTCTTCACACTTCTTTATTTATTCGTTGTTTTCTTTTATTTGGGGATAGGGTCTCACTTTGTAACCTAGACAGGTCCCCAACTCTCATCTTCCTGTCTCAGCCTCCCCAATGCTGGGATTACAGGTGTGTGTGATGGCACCTGGCTACAATTACATTTTGCTTACAGTTGGCTGTGGGACGAGTACTCAGGGAACTTAAAGGGAGCTTCTGTCTACTAGAAAAGTAAGAGATTCTCTGTGGTCCTTGTTGTAGGAAAATGCACCTGATGGAAGGAGCGCTCCCCACCTCCATGTCGGGAAGCTGTGGGGCTTGCGTCAACGGCAGGCTGTACGTTTTTGGCGGCTATGACGACAAAGGCTACAGCAACCGAGTAATCCTTTCTCCCGCCTCGACGGCCATCTCATGCCACACATCTGCAAATCCTTTAAGGAGAGGATACCTGGAGGGTATCCTCAGTTTGTAGTCGTTAGACGTTAAAGATAGATCAAGGGTGCAACAGCGGTGCAGCAGCCGCACTTTCCCTGTGTTTCCCTCCTTTAATTAGCTGCATTCTTGATTGTTGCCCACAGGCAAGAGCGGGGAGGGGGGGTTAGGGGGTGGGGACTGTTGCAGTATGATCTCCACATCCTTGCTTCTGCAATCCCGCCTTGTTTTCATCAATTCTGTCATTTAAAATTTCTAATGGGTATTTATTGGAAATAAAAGTTGGGTTAGTTTTTGGATGGCAGACCCCTCCTCTCCCCGCAACACAGAGTTCATTTTCAGGTGTCTTGGCTCCTAATGTTACTGTCGTCTTTTCAAAGCTCTATTTTGTCAACTTACGAACAAGAGATGGAACTTATATCTGGGAAAAGGTCACCAAGTTTGATGGACAACCACCCACACCACGTGACAAACTTTCCTGCTGGGTGTTTAAAGACAGGTAAAGCAGCGGCACCTGAACTTTAACATCCTTAGGTTAGGATATAGCCTTTGGCCAAGCTTGAGAAATCGCCATGTTTTCCAGTAATTATAATTTGTCTTGATGTCAGTGGCAACAGCGCCCTAAAACTGGCAAGAACCATGTCATAAAAGTGAACATGGGAGCTGGGCGGTGGCGCACGCCTTTAATCCCAGCACTTAGGAGGCAGAGGTAGGCGGATCTCTGTGAGTTCAAGGCCAGTCTGGTCTATAAGAGCTAGTTCCAGGACAGGTTCCAAAGCTGCAGAGAAACCATGTCAAAAAACTAGAAAACAAACAAACAAAGGAACCCCCCCCCAAAAAAAAAACCCAAAACCAAAAATCAAACAACCAACCAACCAAACAAACAAAAACAAGGAAGAAACGATGTTTGGATTTTTCACTTTGAATAACTTATGTTTCTAGATCATTAGCACACTGACCTGTTAAAATCTGAAGCCATATTGAAAAGTGCACAGTGGAAGGCCAGCTTCCTCTGTCTACCCTGTCCACCATAATGGCCCCTTTACCCCCACCACAGAGAGCCCCTAAGTCTGTGTTTCTTTTCTTCTTGGGTGTGGCTTCCAAACCCTATTCAAGCACAGTCCCTGGTGGTCTGACTTTTTCAAATTCCTCAAATGAATCCTTTGCTCAGATCCAGGTGCTTCAGTGGTTGAAAGTTTCAATTATCTCCAGGGGATTTGCTCACCTGTCCTTGTGAACTTCTGCTTTTTTTCACCTTCAGTTTCCTCTTCAGTGAACCCAGGGCTTCACACAAGCTAGGCAAGCGCTGGGCCAGCTTTTGAAGGCCATACTGAGCTTCCCTAAAGACTACAAGAGTCAGGACACGTGTTCAAAACCCCTGAGGCTGACTTTCCTCTGACTCTGATTTGCCATCCCAGCCCAAGCATGACTGCTGGCAGCTCGGTGGTTTTTCTTTACGCGGCCCCGCGTACCTAGTGTCCTCTTTCCCTGCCCTTGCAGGAGGCGTGAGGATGCCCGTGGATCTCTTCTCTCCCACTGTAGGTTCCTCACCTGCTGAGGTTATTGCCTTCATGTCTCATCGTTCCCTGAGTTCTTTGTTTTTTTTTTTAAACCCTAATTGTGTAGTTTATTTGGCTTATTTAGGTGGGTAAGGTAAGAGAAGAAATCGATTTCAAATTTGTTTTTTAAGAAATGATTTATGGAGCTGAGGGTGGTGGTGCACTTTAATCCCAGCAGTGGGGAGGTAGAGGCAGGCAGATCTCTGTGAATTCAAACTCAGGCTGGTCTACAAAGCGAGTTCCAGGATAGCTAAGAGAAACCCTGTCTCAAACACCAAAGTAAGTAAGTAAATAAATAAATAAAAATGATTTATTACTTGTTTTGATACCATGTGCATTGGTGTTTTGCCTGCATGTATGAGAGTATTGAATTCCCTGAAGTTGTGAGCTGCCATGTGGGTGTTGAACCCTGATCCTCTGGAAGAGTAGCCAGTGCTCTGAACCATCTCTTCAGCCCCTCAAATTCCTTTTGTTTATGTGACTTTTGCTGCAGGGTCTCATTCTGGAGTTGGCCTAGAATTCATTAAGTAGCCCAGGCTGACTTGGGAACACATGATAATCCTCCTGTCTCAGCTTTCTGAGTGCTAGAACTGCAGACCTGAGCAATGGTGCTATTTCAATTATCTGAGCAAACTAGAAACAAGACTCCTAAAGTTTGTCCTCTGCATTTGTTTTTCAGATTAATATATTTTGGTGGTTATGGGTACAGGAGGCACAATGAACTTCAAGACTGTTTTGATGTACATGATGCATCTTGGGTAAGGAAGTAATCACTCCTTAATTTTTTCTTTAATTCAGCATCACTGTAAGCCTTAGGAATAATGAATTCCCCCCCCACACACACACACTCTTCTCTCTCTCTCTCTCTCTCTCTCTCTCTCTCTCTCTCTCTCTCTCCTTCCCTCTCTCCCTCCCTTCCTCCCACCCCCTTTGGTTTTTCAAAATAAGGTTTCTCTGTGTAGCTTTGGAGTCTGTCCTAGAACTCACTCTGTGGACCAGGCTGGGCTCGAACTGACAGAGATCCACCTGCCTCTGCCTCCCAAGTACTGGGATTAACCATGCCCAGCTATGAAAAACATTTTTAGAAAGTGGAACCAAATTGCTTGGTAAACTAGAAGGGAATCAATTAGAGTTTAACTTTAAATGTACTTACTTACTTACTGTTTTTTTTTGAGACAGGATTTCTCTGTATAGCCCTGGCTGTTCTAGAACTCACTCTGTAGACCAGGTTGACCTTAAACTCAGAGATCCCCCGCCTCTGCCTCCTGAGTATGGAATTAAAGGCGTGCACCATCATGCCTGGTGAATTTAACATTTTTTTTAACCTTTATTTTTATATTATCTTTCCATCCTACTCCCCTCCCCCACCCCAATTAGTACTTTTTTGAATGCAGCAAACAACAGCCAACTAAAGTTTATTATAGCAAAGATAAGTTTTGAAATAGGTCTCAGAATATAAATGTTCATTCTGTCTCATACAATTGAGGAAGTGAAAACCCGCTGAGTGAGGGAGTCGCAGTCCTGGAGGCGGGCAGCAGCGTGGCGTGGGCTTGAGGGCAGCTGTGGGGTGTGGCGTGGGCCACTGTGGCGACGCTGCCTGTCACTTCACCTGTACATATTAGCGGAATGTGCTGGTGTTTCAGCCATGGAGCTCCTAACTGTTGGTTTCTATTTCAGGAAGAGCAGATATTCTGGGGGTGGCACAATGATGTCCATGTGTTTGACACAAAGACAAGGGCTTGGTCTCAGCCTGAAATTAAAGTAAGCACTCAGTTACCTGGAGGCCCCTGGAGCCGAAGCCCTTCCTCTGAGCCCAGCCCACTCTCGTTCTCACCAGCTTTTCCTTTCTTGATAAACTCCTTTTGTGTGTGTGTTTCTGCGTGGGGGTGTTATTTTTATATTCATTGATATTTTAAAAATGCCTTCTTCCTAAGTTACTTGATTTTAGTAATTGGGTTTGTAATTGCATGAAAAATAATTCTCCCTCTCTCCCTCCTTTTTCTGTCTTTGGAGTTTTGCGAGGGACTCACTTTGTGGACTACACTGACCTAGAACTTACAATCCTCCCTGACCTTTACATCCTTGGTGCTAGGATTAAAGGTGTGGCCACTGCACCCAGCCAAAGAAGTGAAGTGCCCTTAAACACTACTAACAATTACTTTTTTTGTTTGTTTGGGGTTTATTTATTTATTTATTTTTTATTTTTGAGACAGGTTTTTTCTGTGAAGCTCTGTTTGTCCTGGAACTTGCTCTATAGACCAGGCTGGCCCTGAACTCACAGAGATCCAACTGCCTCTGCCTCCCAGGTGTACCTACCCCACCACCGCCCAGCCAGCTTTTCATATTTTAAGAAAGAGTCTCACATGTTTCAGCCGACCTCAAGCTTGCTGTGTGGTTGAGAATGGCCTGGAGCTGCTGCCTCTGCCTCCCAGTGCAGCTATTGCGGGCGTGGCTCACTACAGCCACTCTTCACCCCAAGTGTCTGCGTGATTTAGCAGCTCTTTTACAAAGCCCTTTAAAAACAGAGTCTAAGAGTTTTTTCTTTCTTTTTTTTCCCAATGCTAGATCAAGTCAACAGCCTCATATGTACTAGGCTGGTACTCCACCATGAAACTATACCCTTAGCTCAACACCTGTGTTTTTACAAACCCATGAGCTATATGCAATTCTAGCAAGAGAAAATATATTATCACTATTATATTTGCTGAACACCAAACATAAATTCTGATTCGTTTAAACAGTATATAGAAATCAAACAGATCAACACCTTTTAAAGATTTATTTTTATTTTATGTGAATGGGTGTTTTGACTGCATGTATATGTGGGAAACATGTGTATGTTGCCTGAGGAGCCTGGAAGAGGTGTTGGATCCCCTGGAACTGGAGTTACAGAGGGTTGTGAGCTGCCATGTAGTGCTGGGAACTGAAGCAGGTCCTCTGCACGAGCAGCCGGTGCTCCCGGCCAGTGAGCATCCCTTCAGCCCTGGGAACCAACTTTTTAAAATGATTTTTTTTTCTTAATTTAACAGTTACAGAGGTAAATACTAATTCTTTATACCAGCTGAATCTCAGTACGGTTATTCCAGTGAGTCTGAAACATCAGATGAGCTTCATTCAAGATAAAGGATAGAGAAGTATTTTTTTTATATTCTCAGAATTTTAGGAAGAGAAAAACAACAACAACAACAAAACAAACCCAACTTCTAAAATCCAATTTTGCCTAGGAAATGAGAAGGGCTGAAACTTGACTTAAACCATCAGTGAACTTGTTTTGTGAATTTGAGGACTTTGGGGGCCATGAGGAAATTCTTAGTCTCTGTGATGTAATATTAGATCTTTGGTGTGGAGTAAGGGAAGAAAAGAGGAGAGATTTTTTTTTAATCTGATTTTTAAAATCTTTATATTTCAAGCTAAATTTATATGAACTTTCATTTTGTTGGGGTGGTGGGCATTTAAGGGCAGAGGGCTGCATTTTCTTCTTGAAGAAGCTATTTGTAGTTCTAATTGAGCACAGGATGTGGCTGGTACAGTTGCCTCAAGTCTGCCTCTGTTCTGATCTCTGCTTGCAGGGTGGAGTTCCGCCACAGCCACGAGCCGCGCATTCATGTGCAGTTCTGGGAAATAAAGGGTATATCTTTGGTGGACGCGTTTTGGTCAGTGTTTTCAATGGAAATGATATTTTCATGGGTGATGTTTATAAAAAACTTGTCCTGTGGAGCATCTGAACATTCAAATAACCTAGAGATTAAGCTGCAGCTAGTACTAATTTGTATATGTCTCCTGTTTCCCAGAGAGGCCCTCCACACATAGTCATTGTATATGTCTCCTGTTTCCCAGAGAGGCCCTCCACACATAGTCATTGTATATGTCTCCTGTTTCCCAGAGAGGCCCTCCACACATAGTCATAGATGATTTTTAATCGTATTTTAGTGAGGAGAACCCTCCACTTGCGTGCAGGGTCAGGAATGCTTAGTTTCTTATCATCTAAGCTGTTACTTTAAACCATCTCTTCAATTTGCTTCTCTGGCACATTATTCTGGGAGCTCCATGTTAATTTTCTTAATCCTTAGAATTGATTTCCAATATTTAAACTTCTAGTGCTAAGTAGACTAGGGCAATTTGTGCTTAACCTGAACTTGTTTGCAAACTAACATTTTGTTCCATAAAAGAGTTAAAACGCTGTCCAATCATTGTGCTTTCTATTTCAGCAAACTAGGATGAATGACCTACACTGTCTAAACCTGGACACCTGGACTTGGTCTGGCAGGTGAGTCTGCAGACCGCAGTCCACTCTGGAGGGATGGGTGTGGGCAGAAGCCAAACTTGGGTTTCTGAAATTGAGCTGATCTTTTTTGAGATTATGTATCTAAACAAAAAACATGAAATTTAAATTTCGTCCCTTGCTCCCGCCCTCCCTTTTGAGACAGAATCTCACCAAGTAGCCCAGGCTGGCCTTGAATTCTGGTTGTCCTGCCTCAGCCTCCCAAGTGAAAGGATTCCAGGTACCACAGTCAGCTAAATGAGGTTTATGCAAATTATACAAAGCATAAACATAGTAAGAGTTGAAAAGAATCATGTGAAAATATTGGTTTTATAGTAAGTATTCTTTGGGGACTGGTCTCTAGTGGAGATAGAATGGCTGGTGGAATCATGTTACACACTGTCACCTAGATAATGAAATGGATGAAAGTCAGATTACATATTAACTTGGATATTCCTGTAATGCAATGTAATCAGGGCTATATATTCTTATAAAGTATAAATACTATTAAAGATAAAACCATAGGCCAGTTGATGGTGGTATGAACCTTTAATCCCAGCACTTGGAAGACAGAAGCAGGCAGATTTCTGAGTTTGAGGCCAGCCTGGTCTATAGAGTGAGTTCTAGTACAGCCAGGGCTATACAGAGAAACCCTGTCTAGAAAAAAAAAAAACAAAACAAAATAAATAAATAAATAAAACCATGAGAACTAGGGAAACAGCTCAGCCAGGAAGTGCTTGCCTAGCAGACATAAGGACCCAGCTCAGGTCCCCAGAACCCATATAGAAAGCCAGGTATGGTGTGTGAGCTTCCAGTCACAGCCCTGGGGAGGCAGAGAGAGGTGGATTCTTAGGGTTAACTGGCCAATCAGTCTACCTGAGCCAGCAAGTTCCAGGCAGGTGAAAAACCCTGTCACATATAAACAAACAAAACTAATGCGGACAGCTCCTGAGTCACAGCCCTGTTGCTGGCCTTTGGCCTCCACACATACACAAATAAAACCATGACTAGCCAGACATGGTGCTACACCATGTAATCTCACTTGTATACTTAGGAGGCTGAGGCAGGAAGACAGCGAGTTTGGGGTTAGCCTTGGCTACATGGCAAATTTGAGACCTGACTGGGGCATATAGCAAGACCTTGTCTTTAAAATAACACAAACTCCAGCAAATAAAAAAATAAAACCATAAAAGTGTGAGAAGAGCCGGGTGGTGGCACACATCTTTAATCCCAGCACTCAGGAGGCAGAGGCAGGCAGATCTCTGTGAGTTTGAGGCCAGCCTGGTCTACAGAGCTAGTGCCAGAACAGGCTGCAAAGCCACAGAGAAACCCTGTCTTCAAACAAACTAAAAGTGTGAGAAGAAAATATCAAGTTATTCTTAAAACTTTGGCATTAAAGATTATGTAACCCTGAACTTGGTAAGTGAAAAAGACTGGTTCATAAAACCAGCTAAAGATGAAAGATTTCTCTACGAAAAAAGTACACAAAACACTGAAAGGCATATTGGAAAATGGAAACCAGAAGTAAACTGAAAGCAATATTTATTTATAGCTTTTTTTTCTTTTAGAGAGAAAGTTGAAGTCAAAAGTTCCCAAGAACTCTTAGAGGGGAAAACCCGACAATCTGGTAGGAAAGTGGAAAGGGCACAGAGGAGCAGCTCCCAGAAGGAACGGGTGCCCAGAGGCCACCGGGGCCACCGGGGCCACCCGTGCTGAGCTGTGGCAGCACACTTGGTAGAAGGATGGCCGGCACAGTTTCTTCCTGAAAGGTAGCCTACAGTGTGCTTCGGCTCGACACTGGAGCGGGCGGTGGTGGTGCAGGCCTTTTCTCCCAACACTCGGGAGGCAGAGACAGGTAGAGCTCTGGTGTTTGAGGCCAGCCTGGTCTACAGAGTGAGTTCCAGGACAACCTGGTCTACAGAGTGAGACTGTCACAAAGAAACAAAAAGAAAAGAAAGTTTAACTTTAATTTTGGCTCAGGATTTCTCTGAAGACAATGCAAGTATATTTATGGATATCAATGTGTGTGTATGAATCTAAAAAAAATGCTTATTGCAACTTTTAACAAGTTCAGCGGTTAGGAGCATTGGCTGCTCTTCCAGAGGACCCGCATTTGGTTCTCAGCATCCACATGGTGGATTACAACTGCCTGTAACTCCAGATCCAGGATACCCTCACACAGACACACAATACCAATGCACATAAAATAAAAAAATAAACAAAAGATAAAATTATTGGGCAGTGGTGGCACACACCTTTAACCCCAGCACTCAGGAGGCAGAGGCAGGTAGCTCTCTGAGTTTGAGCCAGCCTGGTCTACAGAGTGAGTTCCAGGACAGCCAGGGCTATGTAGAGAAACTGTTTACTGTTTCCAAAAACCAAAGCAAAACAAATAGCAACAACAACCAAAACAATGAAACCCAACTAAAAATAAAAACAAGGCCTGGCTAAAGCTTGAGCTCAGTCCTCTGTCTGCTGTAGGATTGTTTACATCGCAGGACCTGTGCCAGGGCTGCCAGGCTCCCAGTGCCAAAAGACTGCTTTGTGGAAGCCTGAGGGTCATCCTGAGGGAAATGAGTGCAGAACAATGTGTGCTCCCAGTCTGTGTTCTTAGGAAGCACATTTAGCAAGCACATAGAAGTCCTCAAAGATTGGGCCAAATTAATATTCGTTCCCGTTGCTGGGGGGCAAAGCTATAGTAGTCTCCTTTTAAAACATATTTTCGTGCTTGTTAAATGATTTATAACCAAAGTATTTATTTTCCTTTGTTTCCTCTTTCCTCCATTCTTTCTTCTCCCTTCCCTCCCTTCCTTATTTCCCTCCCCTCCTCCTTTCCTGTCTCTCTCTTTCCCAGCAAGATCTCTGTCTATAGCTCAAGATGACCTTGAAGTTACTGTGTAGCCCAGGATAGCCTCAAATGCATGATCTTAGGGTGCTGGGATTGCAAGTGTGCACCTCCACTCCCCAGCTCAGTTTTTCTTTAAGATCTGAGATGAGCCCGGGACAGTGGTGGCGCACACCTTTAATCCCAGCACTTGGGAGGCACAGGCAGGGGGATCTCTGTGAGTTCGGGGCCAGCTTGGTCTACAAGAGCTAGTTCCAGAACACACCCCAAAGCTACAGAGAAACCCTGTCTCAAAAAACAAAAGCAAAAAACCCACAAAAAGAAGATTTGAGATGAGCGTGTGCTCAGTGCATAGCACTAATGGACAAGGCAGGAGTACTGTGAGCCAGAGGCCAGCCTGGCTGCGTGATGAGACTGTGCTGGGGAAACATAAGACCTGAGATAATAAAAAAAACCCCTCATTTTGTTTAATTCACACTTTGATTTTATTTTTTTTTTCCTTGCTACAGAATTTCTGTTAATGGAGAAAGCCCCAAACATCGGTCATGGCACACGCTGACAGCAATCGCTGATGATAAGCTTTTCCTATTTGGTGGTCTAAGTGCAGATAATGTTCCGCTGAGTAAGTCCATACAGCTTGGCATACAGTCATTTCCTCCTTTACCCCAAACCCTGTGGTGTGCAGTACCCAGGTGGCAGACTTCCGGGGAAGGGTGTATCCGTGTCCCAGTCCCTGCCTGAGGAGTGTGGGAGCCTGAGGGGGCCTCTGTCCTGGGGGTGTGGACGGTTAGAAACTGTTTTACATTCCTGTTCTATGTGTGCGAGCGCATGAATGCATATGTGAGATGCGCCTCTGCACAGGTGTGGGAGACAGGACAACACATGAGAGTTGGGTCTCTCCTAATCCCACGTGGGCTTCAGGGGCCAAACTCAGGTCACTGGGCTTTGCAGCTGGTACCTTTACCTTCTGAGCCATCGCTCTCTCTCTCTCTCTCTCCCTCCCCGTTTTTTTTATTTTTTTGATTAATTACATTTCATACTTATACTGAAGTCATTCTTTTCTCCCAGTATTCCCAACCATATATCTGCAGGGTTGGGGTTATAACTCACTGGTAGAGTTTTTACCTGACATGTACATGGTCAAGGCCCTAAGAGAAAGGACAGAGAGAGAAAACTTAAAGCCCCTTTCCCTCCTGACACTGTCTGTCCAGATGCGGTTGCACTGTGAGCTAGACTGTGGATGGCAGTCTTCCCTGAGGCTGGAAGTGCAAGGTGAAGCCAATGTCTTCTTTTTGTTCTAGAACTACAGAATGCTCAGTGGAATCTGAAACTCCTCCCACTGGTGTTTTGTTTGTTTGTTTTGCATTTATTTATTCATTTGTGTATGTAGTGTGTGTATGTAGTGTGTGTGTGTGTGTGTGTGTGTGCCACACTGACATGTGGAGGTCAGAGAACAGCTTGTGGGCTTCAGGGACAGAGCCCAGGTCCTCAGGTCTGGGTAGCAAACACTGCGATCCACTGAGCTGTCTCTCTGGCTCACAAGTCTGGCGCTCCTGTTACTGCTGATCCTAATAGCTGTGAGTTTTCTAGTGAAGTTCCTTTCTTATCAGTAAATTGCGACATCAGGACACACAACTGACCAAGGGTACGCATGGCTGGGTTTGACATGTTAGATTATTTTCTTAACTATTTTTTTTCCGTTTTATTTATTTGTGTGTATGTGTGTATGTACACATGTGCCATGACATGGGTGTGGAAATCAGAGGACAGCTTTAAGGAGTCAGTTCTTGTCTTCCAAGTGGATTCTGGGAGCCACCCTCAAGTCTTGACAACAGATGCATTTATCTGTTAAGCCATCTTGTGGGCTCTTTTTTTTGAAATTTATTTATTTTATATGTACTGGTGCTTTGCTTACATGCATGTCTGTGCGAGGACGCAACATCCCCTGGAGCTGGAGTTACAGACAGTTCTGAGCTGCCACGTGGGTGCAGGAATTGAACCCGCATCCTCTGGAAGATCTGCCAGTGCTCTGTAGCATGAATTCTAATTAGTCTTAATAAATAAAACCCAGAGCGACATTAGGGGGTGAAAGGTGAAGGATTGGAGAAGCAGATCAGTCAGCCACTAGAGAGACCTTTTACCTCTACCAAATCGGGGGTCCTGTGCTTAGACTGTCACTTCAGACTGCACCTCAGACTACAGGTGCAGGGGTGATCCTCAGACTGAAGCTGTCTCCCCCAAACCTCAGACGGGAGTGAGCTCCTGTCTTCTGCATTATATTCCTCTCTCTGCCCAGCCATATCACTCCTGTCTCCACCCCTAGTTCTGGGATTAAAGGCATGGGATTTGTCTGTTTCTTTTTGAGACTGGGTCAATCTCATGTAGCCCAGGGTGTCCTTGAACTAACAGAGATCCATCTGCCTCTGTCTCCCCAAATCCTGGGATTAACCAATGCCTGGCCTCTGGTGGTTTAACTCTGTGCTCTGATCTTCAGGCAAGTTTTATTTGTTAAAACATAAACAAATGTCACTACACTGCTCTTAACCACTGAGCCATCTCTCCAGACCTAGACTTGCTATTTTTGATCATTAGCATATGGGAAGTTGAATGATCTAACTCTTCCTTATAGAGTAAGCTGAAGATTTGGTTGCATGGGTACCAGAACATTTAGTTTTTGTGTCCATTCATCTTGGCAACAGATGTGTACTAACATGTTTACAAGGAGAATCACGGAAGACCTAGAATCATGCAAGATCTAATAAGTCAACAGGAAGGACAACACAGACGAACAGAGCACATGTGGCCGAGTTCTTCTCTTTTCTCCCTCTCTTCCTCCTTCCTGTTCCTTCTTCCCCTCTTGTCTTTCCTTTTTCTTCTTTTTGGCTGACATTGAGCCCAGGGCTCACCTGTGCTAAGTAGACTTGAGTCTAAGCCTGAACCTTGATGGTTGTTGCCTAGCGTGTGGGGCACTCTCACTTTGTAGATGTTAAAAATGTTTATGAAAAATATGCAGACTCGGGCTGGAGAGATGGCTCAGTGGTTAAGAACACTGACTGCTCTTCCAGAGGACCCAGGTTCAATTCCCAGCATCCACATGGCAGCTCACAACTGCCTGAAAATCCAGTTCCAGGTGATCTGACACCTTCACACCAATGCATATAAAATAAAGATTAAAAAAAAAAGAAAAGAAAGTAGATGAATGGTGGATCAGGACTCAGCCATCCCCTTCCCCCCCTCCCCTTATCCAGAACGTGTAGCCCAAAACTTCATGTTTAAAAAAAAAATAGGCAGACTCACCCAAGATAATGATGCAAATATAACATGATAAACCTGTAAACAACATTAAAATTGTAACCCAATGCCCTAATCCTCATTTCTGAACTTCCCTAATATTACAGGTGATTGCTGGATTCACAATATCACAACAAACTGTTGGAAACAGCTGAGACATTTACCGTACACCAGGCCCAGGTGAGCCCAAAGGAAACCGGTGAGAGTTTTTAAAGTTTAAAGATTTAGGACAGAATGCAGTGTCTCTAAGGAAACCATAAACAGAATGGTTACTTCTCAAATAAGCTTCATGTTAACTGAATAAATTAATTATCATTCTGGCTATGTTCATTGGAAATGATTTATATACTTTTTATCCATAGTTGCAAAGTTGAAAATGTTACTTTTAGCTAAATATATAATCTTGCCTAATAAAGTAATTTAAAACCTGATCGATTTTTAATGTTACTATTTTTAATAAATAGATTGGAATAGGGTTAGCTTTAATCATAGTTGTTTTTAGGAGATATTTGAAGTAATTTATTAGACATATTTGCTTTCAAGTTACTGTAGAGACAGATTTTTTTCTTATTAACCATTTGAGCAGGGAGTGATGGTCCACCGCTCTGTTCCCAGAACTTTGGAAGTGTGGGTGGGAGGACCAGGAGCTTAAGGCCGTCAATGCTATGTAGTGAGTTTGATGGCAGCCTGGGCTATGTGAGAATTTTATTTACTGAAAATAAACAGCAGTCTGGTATATTCATTAATGTGAATAGTTTGAGAAAGAAAATGCTACTTATTTGTTGTATATTGTAGGATAAATATTATAGAAACAATATGTTATTATTAAAGGAAATCAAATAGCACCATAACAGTTTCTCAGAGTTAGTTGACTAGTGTAATGAAAATGTCCTCATAGGACATTCAGATACAGCAGGCCATAGGATCCTCTGCAGACACCATGCTGTCTACACCATAGTCCAGTAATAATCTTACTCCAGATTGTGTAGAGTCAGCTTATGATAGATCTTTCTGTTATTTAACAAGTGACAATTGAGAAAAAGATCTAAATATTCATATGTATGTTGATATGTAAATCTATACTAATATTATTTAGAGACCATCATGACTGCAGATGCTACTCTTATATTTTTATGTACAAAAATTCATTAGGCTATGTTAACACATCTAGCTCTTTTGAAACTTGTTTAAAGAGTTTTTTATTGAGACAACATTCAAGCTCAGCCACTCCTTAGGTGCTGGCTTTACCAGTCACGTATAGCACGCATGTCTCCTCTGTGATTTGAGGCAACTTCTGGTCTCTTAAGTTTTGTTTTATGAATGCATTAATTATGATGAAAATGATAATAAGTATGTTTAATTTAAAAATGTGTGACTTATATTCCAAGCCTTAATGAATAGTTAGAGCCAGACAACTGTTTCCAGTAGCGCGGCGTAGCCTGCTTTCCTCCGGCTGACGTGTCCTGTCCGCACTCTGCTTTGTTAGAATGTTTAGGTGTGAGTGTAGAGCAGCCGGGAGAGGACAGAGACTCAGTCTGTAGGAAACGTCAGGTTGCAAACTAGAGGCCACCAGACCAAGGCAGGGAAGGCTTCCCGGTGTTCTTCGGTGATGAAGTCCAGGCCCGAGTTTCCCTCAGGCAGATAAGACAGGCAGATCTGCCTTCAGGTATGAGGTGAGGAGGAGAACGTGTGTGTGTGTGTGTGTGTGTGTGTGTGTGTGTGTGTGTGTGTGTG